ATCGCAAACCTTGCCGCTTCTGATTTACTCAGGAAATGTCCTTATTGATTTTGACGTAAAAAGAAACCAAACAAGTCCTGGGCATCCTGGGAATGGCCCCATTGAGCCTTTTTAACAACCCTCTGCAAAACAACAATCATGACTCATGACACATACTGGCCCATACGGCCAATCAGCATGGCCACATTGAGATGACTGGCCGTGTTTATATAATGACTGGTTGGTGTTTTCAGTCCACTTGAAAAATAGTAGTCAGAAGGTCCAATCATCCCCAAAAGATATCCGAAACCATCACCTAGATGAGTTCCTCTGTATTATAGCTATAAGTGAATTCTTCACACACCACCCCTACTACACCACCCGTGTTCCACGAACTCATGCTGGGTCTTCAATTCGGCCTCCAGACTTCACCCCCGGCCGTACCGTTCCACCTCCGAGGCACTTCATCTGATCGAAGACCAAACAGGTAGCTGTTCGCCAGGAAATACTGGGAACTTGCAGAAAGCACCTTCCAAGCGCTGTGACATGCTGTGACGCATCGAACACACCGAAGCGAATACACCGAAAACGGATGGTTTGGATGCATCGCCCCATACGACAAGCGCCCAAAAAACAGGACTGAATGGCTGCCTGAGTCCAAAAGCCATATTATACTGTAGCTAGTCACAGCAGTTGCTTCCTACCGCTCTATATCATCTTACAGTAATTGTTCATTGCTCTTGGTACTGCTCTTGGTTTTCTTCAGATCTTCCACGGTACGCCCCATTCCGCTTTCTCAAACGCTACGGACCGGGTTCGCATCTCCGGTCGGTTCGGTCTTTCTCGGTCATCGGCCGAAGGGACAACTTGAAGTACTCCGTGAAGAGCCCGGCAGCGCCTCGGAGCCACGGAACTCCGCCCGGAACGGAGCCTCCGCCCTTCGGAGACCGGGCCGACGGCCGACCGTCGACCGCGACGTTTGCTGAAGGCAAACACCACACGGTGTCTGAGCATGGACTGACTGGTCTGTGTGCCGCGCACTTCGGGTTGGGTGGAATGCTTGCAAATGTTGGATCTGCATCCATTTTGCGGTGTCTTACAGTGAAGCCATGGATGGACCTGCACTGAAGCTGGTTGGTCTGGCTCTGGTACAAAGCCTCTTGCCTCGCTGTTTGGCACCAGCCAAACAAATCCAATGGCAGCAACTATCCATCAAACGATGTTGTGGGCACATGAACACACCGTCTTTCTTGACCAAAGTGGCCTATGATACATCACGATACACACCTATATAATATATATGGATGGTCTTTCTCCGCAATTCAATGGATTTGGCGTCGCTCACTCAACCCTGGCCATAACAACGCCAAGTTGCTGATCTCATCCAAACCATCTTCACCTTTCCTGAGCATCACGCAGGCGAAGACTCTAGTGGCAAATCAATTTGAGAACATGAAGTTGAATGTGTGTCTTTGCTCCATGTTCATCAATTTTTCAAGTGAGCCCTTGGCCAAATGCTCTGTCTTTTTTGAGGGATCTTGATCTCGAACTTTTAAACAATAATATTCAGGACTGTGGTATGTTGGAGTGAGAACTACAGCTGCGGTACAACCTAGCTCCACAAACTAGACCTTGTGGCACCCCAGATTAAAACATAATAAAGAATGAAACAAACAATCAGCAATGTCTGGCGACTGTCGGGCCAAGTGTCAATAGTTGTTCTCGATACTTGTTCGAGGGAAAGGTGTCGTTGTCAATCACCTTCACCCGACAGCTGTGGAGATGAATGCCTCAGCTGACACGAGAGACGAATGCGACAGCGCATTTTGGCAAAGCAAACCCGTGTGGGAGTTCAATCTGCTAGAAATTGGAACCAAAGGAATCAGTTTTTGTCTTGTCACGGACCCCTCAATCTATCTCTTTCTTGTCCACATGAAACCCATTTCCGACTATGTCTTCAAGCAAGCACGTCTAAGTCTAACCCGGCACACCAAAACATGTCGTGAAGAATTATGCATCCCAACCACTCCAAGGGACCATTTACCTATATAGATTGACCCCCTGAATTTCAACCACCCCAAGGTATCAAAATATGCCAGTCCCAGACAGGTCGTGTCTAGGACATGGACCCGGAGAATGAGACCCATACCGTATTTCCTTGGAAGACCATGCTCCATTGGGGCGTGCATCGTGGTTTTGGGGGGCTCCATGCGTCTCCCTCCATGGAGGGTATATACCAACAAAGGTTGAAGGACCCGAACTAGCCTATCCCAGTCTGGTACCCCAGTAAGGTCCTAGTTCAGGTCACTTAACCTCTCTTGGTATAGCCGCGATCTTCGTCACCTGGCCGAGGTTGCATCGTCTCCCACGGATCTTCGTCCCAGCGGCCCAGGTTGCATCCTTCAGGGTCCGACAGGCGCACCTGGCGGACCGGAACCGCGTGGCCCGGTGGGGCGGCCGGGCCTTGCGGTGGTGGCCCCGTGGTTCTTTGAAGAAACTTGGTGGATGTTTGTGTCTGTTCACAATTGTGTTTTCTTTCTTTGTGGATGTCTGTGTGGAACTTGTGTGTCTGTTTTGTTTGGAATGGCGTGTCGTCTGTCTCATCAAGACACCTGAATTCTCCCATACCTGGCGGATCCGGATACGTGTTGCACGGCAATATATAGAGGACCGGACCCCATATTATCAATTATTATCGTATACAATAAAGACACATGGCTAGCTACCATCTACCATCCATCTACCGGTCGCTCGTTCTTAAACTCCACGCCTTGAATTCCATGGTGGCGGACCAGTACAAACTCTCGATGGTGTTGATTTCGATGGACTTTCGGTACCTCGGAGGGTTTCGGTGACCCTTCGTCCATGGCACACGAATCCTTTTTGGTCAACCGCGTACGCTGGACACATTCCACGGCTGCAATTGGGACCGCTGGAGGCTTTGGGGAAACCAAAGTACGATACGTGGGCGATGGGACACCTATTTCGGCTCCGAACCGCGGACACCGGCCTATAGGTGTCTGGTTGAAATAGGTGTCGAAGGGTCAGTTTTTAGGATTTACAAGCCCCACCAACGAAATGCAAAGAGTTTCAACTGCTGAACCCATGGTGCTCATCCTCTTCGAACATGAGCTCGCCAAAGGTCTCTTCGTATGAAATGCCGGCTTTGGCCGAACCATCTTCCTGAGCTTCGCTTTTTGGATACTTTCAATATGCCCTGCTATGCCCTGCTGTTGCTGGCTATCGGTTTTCCAGCATCACAACATACTAAGGACCCCCCCATGCTCCAAACACCCGAGGTGCGAGCTCTTGGGGATTCACTTTGGATGTTCCATGACTTTCCGTACAAACAAACACACACGCACACCGCATAAGGCGGCCACTGGAATCTCTAGAATCAACTTGATCTCCGGCCATAGGCAGTTAGAAGATTGCGGCTCATCTTAGGCCAGTCTACATGTCTCTTTCCAGATTGCAAGAAATGCCGAGAGTCCCATAATGTGTAAAATATTCGTATACCAGATCCATCCAGTCTTGGTGTCCTGGTTGGACTACACTGCTTAGAGATGCCCAAACAGGACACCCATTTTGGATGGTCCAGGTATATTTAATGATACTTTTGTCTTCAGAGCTGTGCTTTGGTAAGTTTCCCAACTAAAGGTCGAACGGTCCACAGGATTCCAACTAAGTACAAACATCTTTGTTGTTAATGCTCGTCCTAGACATGCTTAACACATCCGCCACACTGTGGTCTTGATCAGAAATCCCCTCTCCCTCGGTGCAAGGCTCAGTGTGGTAGCGCACCTTCACCGTGCCCTTCATCGATCCAAGCCTCATCACATCGACCACCAAGCTGCCCTCGTTCTCCTCCACGTAGTAGATCCTCGGCCGAGCCCACGTACTGAACTGGGTGGTGCTCCTATCCGGCATACATACATATATATGCATAGTCAGTTGACCTTGTTGCACGCCCGAAGGTGATATGGTGGATCGATCGAAGCAACAAAACGGGTGATGTCCAACAACCCGATGGGGGACATGTCAGCATCCAGGCATCGATGTAGTAAACTGCACAATGTCAGCATTGGTCGTAGCCCTTCGAAGACTGCGCGACGATCCTTCCCTGGTGGCACCTGGACGGGAGAATGTCCAAAGTTCCACCTGTGAGGCTTTCTGAGCACAGAAGAAGGTGGTGTGTATGTGTGTGTGTGTGTGTCAACCTCCCTCTCTAGGAGACTTTTATGCAGCAGGGGGTGGAGACACCTGTATTGCTTCTCCACCTGTATGAGTAAGTGTGTGTTTTCACAATTGTTGATGAGTCCTGGTTGACGACCGAAAGACATCCGATCGACCTGCCATTGACAGCAAAACCAGCAGCAAAACCAGCACAGGCCTTCCACTTGGTTGCCCACGAGCGGTTGGTAGGCTTCATTGTTGCAGCAGGAAAGCATGGCTCCGGCGACCCCGGAGCGAATGGCAGAACTGCCGGAAGGGCCCGACGCAGGTGAGCGGGCCGTCGGCCGTCGGGCCCTGGCGATGTTAGTTCAAAGCAAAAACAACAATCACACCTCACACCTGCACTTGCGCAACTTGCGTCTCCATTAATCAAGAGCTTAATTACTACTAGTAGTAAGTGCTCCAAAAAGTCATACTTTTTTTCTCATCATTAGCACATGTCTTCTATGTTTTTTGCTTAAGCTCCAAGCTTGAGTCACAGCAAACATAGGATTTATATGCACTGAACAGCAAACAACACATCCGTTCACGCAATTTCATGGGTCCATCCACTGAAAAAGTTAAAACACGCAGTGCTCGAAAGAGTCTGTGTCAAGAATAAACTTGAGTCGTTGCGGAAGTCCATCGAGGGCCAAGTCAGCTACCACTCCAGTAGTCATATTTCTAAAACACACATTAAACAAACTACACACATGCATACATATTATAGAAACTAAAAATGCTCCAACAAAAACTCCACAAATATCCGATACCCTTCTCACGGCATTCATGGCGTTCTTCTTTTTTGCTCAGAACACGGGCGACATGCAGTTCTTCATCGAACACGGGCGACCGTAGACCGACCTGGTCATATGGAATCACATGGAAGACATGGACTTGCTTCTTCGTTAGCCAACGATTGAATCTGGACCAACGAAGAAAAAACAGAACAAAAGAAGAAGCCAAGGATTGAAGCCAACACTAGAGATTCTGCTCATGACGTCTATTAATCAAATCTTCACTGTCACCGTGGTACACTATCACACTCCTAAGATCTCCTAAGTCAATTTGCAATGAAGCAAGGCAAAGCAACCTCTGTTTCAGTGAAACCGATGCTCATGGGTTCCACGGCGCGGCTTCGCGCGTTCCACCGTCTTTTCCAAAGTCCGGCGCTTCGCGGTTCGTTCCGCTCGCGGTTCCACGTCGTCACCGCTCGAACTGCTGAAAACGATATGCCGAGGCGTTGGGGCCGACCGTGCTCGCATCACCTCGCGCATGGCCATGGTGGCATATTGACCAGGGCCCAAGTGGAAGTCCAAGATCAGATTTGACCCTGGTGCCTCAGCTTGGGGCTTTTCAACGACTTGGATGGACCTGGACCAAAAGAACATCTTCTCAAAATAGGACGACCAACCGTTTTTAAACTTGCATTGTGAAGCGTTCGGGGATTTCAAGACTCAAGGATGGACCAAACCTACTAATCAATCCTGGGATGCCTCCTTCTTTGCTCGGACCCGGCTAAAGTGGTTCGTCGCCCGAGTGACCCTGGCGGGTTCCGTGCTTCCATTGCTGCAAGCTGCACGGATCAGAGTCGCAGGCTGCTCGTCGGTGTTGACTTCCAGGTGCCAAGTGAACTGCTGTGGCCGCACCACCACTGGACGCATGCAGCCGGTGAGTTGCCACCAGGTGCCACCAGGCTGTTCTAGATTCAGCTCCTCAGATTGAAGGCTGTCATACTGCAAATAGCTCTGCATGAAGTGGCCAACGGTGTTCGCCGGCAGCTGCATGCCTGAGCCTGGACGTGGAAGGAGGAGCTGAAAAATATCTGCAACGGCATCAGTTGGAGTTAGGAGCCTGCAGCCAAGGTGACCGGTGGATGTTTGCGAAGAATAAGCAAAAACAAGAAGTCTTTGAACATGGCTTCAAGACGTGCAACTCCTATCTACCCAAAAATGTTCAATAATCTCACACACACACACACGTGCCTGAAGTTCCCCTCAGAAGACATCAAATCTCCTTCTGTGAGGTGCTCTGCTCCATATCGTGTGATCCGCTCGGTTGCTGCCAAATTCCAGAGCCGATCCACGTAGCTATGCGCGTAGAGCGCACGGATGGAGCGAGGCAAAGCCAAGAAAGCCTCCTTGGCGACTTCTAGCCAGCTGCCTCCACCAGGCAGAGGTCAAAACTCACCATTTATAGGGTTGGATGCTGACAAGAGGAGTCGAAAATGGTCGACATATTTGATATAGCTATTGGTGGAGATCCGAAACATCGTCATGGAGTGGAGATAATGGATCTATGTTGGCGATGTTTGGGGACTTGTTAGTCAGGTTAACGAGCTGCGTTGCGTCGTCAAATGTGTATATAATATATAGTCATGTAATTAGCCGCATTGCACGCGCTCCGATCTAGGCCTTCACCACCCTTCTTGGGCGCCCCATGACCCACCATGCGGCCGGCAGTGCCGCCGGCAGTGCCGCCATCAAGTTCTTGGCGCCGCTTCAAGGACTGCAAGAGCCGCCGTTCCGCCCAAACACCTTCCACCGGCAGCCGCCGCAAGGCCGCGTCCGCGCTGTGGGTGCGGCGGAAAACCTCGGCCCACTTGGGCAAACGGCCCGGGCCCAGGCTCACCGTGTCATCTCCGGCTTGGCGCAGGAGAAGGTCCACACAACGCTCATAGTTTTTTTGTAAATAAGCCAAGCCCAACTGGTCACTGCGCAAACCTCCTTTCCCAAATCGCTGCATGCCCACATAGTTGATGAAACCCCTGGACTGCAAGGACTCCATCGCAGCTGGCACCGCCGAGGGACTGACACCTCGCACACGCAAGATGAAACGGTTTCCTTTCAGTTGCCCCGGAACCAACCTTTTGGGACAACGACGGAAGTGGTTCACTTCCATGTAGGGCAAATGCTCCTTCACCACGTTGCGTAGAGCCGCCTCAGAAATCGCGGAGGCCTCCACGGTGATCTCCTGCCCAACTTGGCAATTAATGAAACAGCAAGTAGCAAGTGTAGCAGTGGTAGCAGTGGTAGCAGTGGTAGCAGTGGTAGTAGTAGTAGTAGTAGTAGTAGTAGTTGTTGTTGTTGTTGTGATAGTAACTGTGATAGTAGTAGCAGTGGTGGTGGTATTAGTAGTCGTAGGAGCAGCTTTAGTAGCAGTAGTCGTCGTCATAGTAGTAGCTGTTATTGTTGCTGATTTGGACCGGTAGGATGGTGTGCACACTTGGTGTGCAGGGTACGCTGCGTTTCTCCATCACCCGGTCGGATCCCTCGTCCTGCGTGGTGATAGCGAAGGAGTCTTTGATCCCCGCGAAGCCGAACTTCTGCGCGGAGAGGTGACATGCATTCGCCAACGCATCCACCGCCTCTAGGGTATCTAGGCCGCGCTTGGTCAAACGAAATCGCAGGAAAGGCAAAGCGTCAGACGCTTCTTCCTCAAAATCTTCGAGAGGCAGCCTTCGATAGGTCTCTGGAGAAAACACACCCGCAAAAAGCCTTGACCATAGAAACTGACAGACCGGGAAACAACTTGCCCGGAACTTGGTTCGGTAGCTAATTCTATAGGTTGGACTGAATTCTGCTTCCTTAAGTTCCCAAGTGCACTCTGAGGATGTGTTTTCCCATTCCAGAGCTGAGATCAGGTTTTGAGGATGGGTTTGGGCTCGAAACCCGTGCTGGGAGAATCCTCTTGGTTACCATGCACTAAGAATTGCAATGTTTTAAAGATAATCGCTAAGCATTCAAGATTCCTAACTTGAAGAAGGAGGAATTGCAAATTGAAGCCAATAGTGTATTGAACCAGGTCACCCAAGCTCCTGCCAGCATGTGAAGCCAGGATCATTCACTGCATAGGCAGCTGTGCATATATATATATATATATGAAGCTAAGACCTTTATCCGTGAATGTCATTTAGCCATATTTAGCCTCCTGCATGCAAACGCAACAAAACTGCTAGCCAGGCTTATCACTTGGTGCACAGAGTACACTTGCACTTGGACTGAAGTGCCACTTGTGTGAGGGCATGGAGCTGACACTCAGGCGTTTCTACTTCGGTCTGGCTGGAAAACATCAGCTTGACCAGCTTGAATCGGCCGAATGGGAGAGTCAATGAAACATGAGATGAGCTGGAGGGCTCAGGAGATCTCAGGAGGATGGGCTGGACCCGTTCTGAGGATAGGTTTTGGAATGATCCCTTCCTCAAGATATGCCCCCATCGAGTGTCTATTCTCATCATATATCCAGGAGCCCTAGGGCTTAGCAAGTATTCAGCAATTGGACTTAGCTTAACTGAGCCAAGTGGACTTAGCTGACCGTGTTAAAATTGGGAATCCGAACCTAGCAGACTTCCGGGCAAGTGTTTTGCACACTAGCTCTGGCAGTCCATCTACCACTATGGAGTACTACCATTTTTAAAATTGGTGTTGGATTGGATCTCCAAAAAAGGACAGCTGCTTCCGAGCAACTCCTCCACCACAAAGTCTTCAGGACAGCTTTTCAATGAACCACCGATCGGGGTCAACTCCCAATTGATAAAGGCAGAGATCCCACAATCCACTTCATCTGCAATACCTCTGAGACTGCCACAGTCCATTGGCAGACCGCGCGGAAATTTCTTTGTTTTAACATGTAGAGTGAGTCAGAGCTGTGTAAAGACATGAACAAACAGTCTCCACATGGTGTCTGCACACAAAACTATAGATAAAGGATCCTTACATGAGTCTCCAAATCAAAGTTTGCTTGTGCAAAGAAGGATAACATGCACCATGCAGTCATCGAACCAGCGACACTGCTTGAGAATAGTGCGGCCGTTGTCAACGCTCAATTTCTGGCGCAGTAGGTAAATCCTATGCCAGAATAATGATAGTAGTAGATCCAAGTGAGTAGCGTTCTTTTTTGTGCAGACATAGCCACCTCGAAGCCTACGTTTGCAGTTTTATAGCTTTGCGTAGCGTTCGCGTAGGGGAACTATTACACGTAGGCGCCGCATAGCCTACCTCTGCAGTAAAAGCGACCTCGCGTAGCCTCTCGCGGAGTTCCCCTCACCGCGTGGTCAGCGCGTAGCCTACCCTTCAGCAAAAGCGGATAAAAACGGCCTCGCGTAGCCTCCGCGAAGGCGATGAAAAAAAAAACACTGCTCAAGTGAATCCTGGCCAATGAGAGTCTAATTCCGTAGAGCATGGTGAGAAAAAAGTCGCAGTTCAAGCCAAACCGAATCTGGCAGCAAATGTTGAGAGGTGCATGAGATGATCTCTTGGACCAAAAAAGTATTTTAGCCAAGACTTCTTGGAGTAATATTATTCTTACTTCTAAATGTTCTTTGGCCCGAACTGAACTCCCTGCCCATCCAACCTCCTGTCGGTCCAGCGAGCACTCCCGGTTCTAGCGACCTGAAAGCCAGATCCCAAATGCTTGTCACGAGAAGTGGAGTGTGCCAGGCAGAAACAGCTTGTGCTTAAGGACATGTTCACTTCAACCTTCTATATATTTATATGCTCAGCCCCCCCCCCCCCACGACCCCCCCCAAAGCAAGGGGGTCGTGGGGTGTGTGTGTGACCATCTATATATATATATATATATAGCACTCATGATCACAACCAACAATGGCAGCTCTTTCGGAACCCATCGACGACGCGTCTTCGTCGATTCAGCACCCAGTCCGACACGTCTTCGTCGAAGATGTCAGATCGTGCGCACCGCGGGAACTCGTGACCGACCGGTGTCGACCACGGTCGATCCATCCTGACCGACGAAACCGTTTGGCCAAACCCAGTCTAGCTTTTTTTTGTACTCCTCACAGCCATACGGACGAGCCGGTAGCCTAGAACCCAGTCTAGAAAAACATATAAAAACATACACCATCCGGACCATCATCCTATCCTTGTGGGATCCTATTCTGAAGCACGTCCTCGCTTTTCTGGGGCGCCCGCGTTGAAACCGCGGTTTCAGTGCCCCTTGGAGGGGACACGCCGGTGGCGTTCGCCAGTGGCGTTCGCCAGTGGCGGTCGCCAGTGGGTTCGCCAGTGGCTCCGGTGCGGCGCTGCTGGGCCAATTCTAAGAAGTAATGCAAAAGAATGCAGCAGAATACCAAGAAGTTCGAAGTGGATATGAATGTATATGAATGTCGACTTTTCATGGCCTTTCTGAACAGCTGCTTTAGCAAGAGTCGGCCATTTTCTTGCCGAATCTTCAAGGATCCGGCTAAACGACCGAGTGCATGTAGCTCCACACACACACACATCCCAAGCCACCAGGAACCAACCATCAACGGCGGCACGTCGGCCGAACATTTGCGGAACAAGAACGCTACGAACGGAACATGTCGGGCATCGCTACTAGGAGCAAGCACGCTACTGGCCTTACTACTAGGAGCAAAAGGATGCTACTAGGAATAGTTCCCCTCCGCTTTCGGATGCAATATGAAGCAATCGTGCAACATGAGAACATCTGATCGACGGAGTGAAACCCGACGAGCCGACGAGCTGTGTTGCTCAAATGAGTGAACCTGCTCACGCCCACGCTCGCTCAGCACTTGCTGCGTTGATGGAACTCTTTGTACATCACATCCACAACAGCAAAGCCGCTGCCTTGAAAGCAAAGGAGTACGCCATAAGTGCGTCATACGCATCCAACACAAGCAATGTAATTAACGGATTTTGGTTGTTTACAGCGGATGTCAACGAACAGAACAGGTGACAAATGGTGAAAGTGTTCAACTCCGCCGAGAAAACATGTGAGCAGCTTCGAAAACCCCTATTACTTTTTTGTATAATCCAGGTTTGATTTCGCAAAGCTTTCGCGGAGCTTTCGCGGCCTGCATTCTGGCTTTCGCGGAAGGTGTGGTGTTATGTGGGGCTTTCGCGGCGGCTTTCGCGGCGATTCGTTTTCGATTGGGAAATTCGATTGGGATATTGTACAATAAAGTGATTGATCTATATAAGTTACTGGCTGGCTGGCTGGCCTGCTGCGGCTGCCTGCATAAAAATATGTTCACCCACATAAACAACACGACATGCACAAGAAATTCGACTTTCGCGAAAGCTTTCGCGACGCTGTTCTTCTGGGGTTCTTTCGCGGGGCTTTCGCGAACCTTTCGCGACCTGCGTTTTGGCTTTCGCGAAAGAATGTGAGATTACAGTTTGCACACTTTTCATCATAGAGGTTTTTGAAGCTGCTCATGTCGAAAACATGTCATTTGGACCCAAACACCCAACTCACAGCCAATCTTCCTCTCCATCCTGATCACGAGCCCTGAAAAAGAGGACGAGGTCTTTTGGACAATACTGCATGGTTTGATACTATATGATACTATGATATATAATTGATGACTATTATGATATATTACGGAGCTATGGGCGGCTATGGATGTTGATAGACATTATTCAGGCAAACCAACATTGGCCTTCAAAGTGACCTATTTGAGGGCCTTGGCAGGGAAGAACTGCTAAACGTCTGTTCGCCGTCATCGCCCCACATGAGCTGCAGCTCATGGGTTCGCCGAGCAGATCATCAACTCACGACTCACAGCAGCATTGCAAGCAAGATGCATCGTCATGCTGCGGCCCTGAATGCATTAAACAAGTCCATGAAGTATCTCCAGCCCACTGTGAAGAGAGAGCCTTGGATACCTCAAGAAAACGTGATCGGACACTGATTCTCAATCCTCTAACACAGCTCCAACATCTTCCAATCACCTCGGGGACCTCCGCCTTCTCACTTCTCTGTATACCTGTGGCTAATGTAGACGGTTGATTATATATTTCAACCGCTGAAGAGGATGAACAATCCATGTCTGCGGGGGTATGATTCATCAGTCTGCAGCCGAAAGCCCACCTCACGGCCCCACACCGGTCCCGTCGGAAGCTTCTGCTGTCGGACCCCTCAAACGCTATCCCGCTATCCCTTCGCTTGGCTGAACCCTCCCCTCCTCCCCTCCAGCCACAACCAAAAAGCGGTCCGACGCCGAACAAGGCCGGATGCCCAGGTGCCATTGGCTAAGATCCGAGTCTTCAGACCTCGCTGGAGTCACCGTACAGGTCAGACACGTCAGACACGTCGGCCGCATCGGCTCGTTGGGCTCGTTGCGGGGAAGAATGAGAAGTGATGTGTGTGTGTGCGCGTTTTTTGCTGCCAATCACGGCAGCGACAGGGATGAAATTGGATCATTTCATGAATTTCATATCATATATTTGTGACCTTTGTTGCAATCAAATGTGAACATATACGGGGACATCACAGATGCCAATTAGCTTGAAACTTGAAACCCTTGCCAGCACTGCAACCATCCATGTTGTCACATTGGAACTGCCGTCTGTGACCACGAACAACTCGGTGAACCTACTCCCGCGCCTCGCGACCAAAGCCCCAGGAAACCCTCCTGCGTAATGATGCCGCGTGCCTCGGATGTTCAGGTGGGAAAAAAGTTATAAGGAAACTCATGTTTGGTCCATCTTCCATCTTTGGGAGTCTACAATCAGCTGGAGCCACTGCGGACTGGCAGACTACAAAGGGCATGAGATTCATACTTACATTTATATATATATATATACAATTGTACATCAATCACCAGCAATCCCTACTTTCGTGGCCTTGGGAACCATCAGAAAATGCTGGCAGCTCCTCTATTGTGGTCATGGCTTGTCTGAACTTTCTGACTTTGCAGAAAAGCGACTGCCTCCATGTAGCCTGGGCTCTATCGAAATGTGGGAATAGTGAGCCAAGCAAAGAAATCTGATTCTGTGTGACAGCGCCAACATAGAAATCTCATGGCCATTCACGCATACTACACAACACCACTTGTTTAAATGCATATACTTACTCAAACGCGCCCCAACGAAACAAACCAGTAACCAGTGAACACATCTGTGTCCGGACACCAACGATGCCATCAACTGCCGCCCAAAAGCCTGTCCGGGTTAAGGAGGTTTGTCGGTTCACTTTCAGTACCCGGATGGGATTGCACAAGGTGTCGGCCACCACAGAGGAAGTGAATCCAATGAAGGCGTTCCGCACGTGTTTCCCATACCTGCAGGGGTGAGAAAGAGATAGATGCAAAGTGATGCAAACACTTTTGGGCAAATTCAAAACCCTGTTCGAATGACTAATGCTGGTTGGAGAGTTGCCAAGCACCTGTGACATGTAATCTAAGAATAACAACTGCCCAGTCGCAGTTTCAAGCACTGTTTCTACTTGTTCGACTCGATGGCACAAGTACACTGCACATAGCGCATCGAGCGCATCAGCGCGCCGTTCGCAAAGCCCCGCTTGTCGCTCCTCATGTCGAATTCGGGCACGGTTTCCCGGAGGAGATTGTTGGTGTAGAACCACCTGCCACGGACCGCAGCGGTCTGGAGGTGATTGCAAGTTGGCCAGTCATACACGACCCCACCAGTCATACCATTACATGATGTACATGTGCAATGCCCCTTCTCAAGAGCATGTTCCTCTGCCATGGGGATTCTTTTCCATTCATGTCTATGGACTGTCTGTGCAGACCAGGAGAGTTTAAAAGGAACCAACCAACCGATTCACCGATGCCAGCATGTCTGCTTCACGAGCCCTCAGGAACGTCCTGGAGCGAAGGCATTTGGAAGAGAAGGGAGGCCCTATAGAGGAGGTCAACCTATGCTGGTGAAAGGGGATCCAGGTGCCATGACCCACTGGTCCGTTTGGATGTCGAAGTGGTCTGCTTGTCTGATAACAAGATCTTGAATGGAGACACAGGACCCCAGTCCGGACCCCAGTCGCCCCGGATTGGTTGAAGAACGCTGGCAGCTCGTTGCGTGAGGATCTCACTCTCGAGTCTCCCAGCCCACAGGGATCCACTGGGCCACTCCGTGTACCACGGTTTCCACTTCATTCCACGGCAAACAAGGTGCACCATGGTGTCCTCTTTTGAGCCCCCCAAGACACTGCTAGACTCGGCCACTTGCCCATTTTTCGTATGTCAATTTGATGTCCAGTTTTGCTTCAAAAACCGAGCGACTGGTAGTGGCCAAAGCCCTGGGTGAAGAGCACTCCCATACCGCCATGCCAGAGCGCCAAGGGATTCTGCCGCGCCTCGCGGTTCCGATGGGCAACGCGCAGCCGGAAGTGATAGTGTGTCCCATTTTTTTCGAGTAATTCTAATGATATATAATACAAACAAGTACTTATAACCATGCAGTTATATATAATCTAAGTCGGTAATGTAAGGTAATTATGTATTGCTACTTGTTTATATCTGAACAAACTGGAAACAACATAATCATGAAGCGGCATACTCCTGTAAACAATCACGTGAACATGCAAAATGTCAGGTCAGGAAAATGCCATGCTTGTCTTATCCAATGTTTGCAACGTTATGAGTGAACAGTCGCTACTAGAAACAGGAACAATGGATTCATTCTGTTGAGGGTGCAAAAGCAGTTCGTGCCTTTCTGTGCCTTTCCCCATGACCATGGGTATCTGTGGGTCCACAGTCTTCCGTTGCTTTGACCTACATCGCCTACAATATATGCCTACAATTCATCAAAAGTAATATAGGATTCTGCATTCCTTATACCAGTATCCTCCAAGGGTTGTCTATTTATAGCCCCTTAGCTGTTAAGGGGTGTCCATTAACCTCCCCTTAGGGTGGTATGAATTTCTTGTCCGTCTCATCCTATGACAGAATCTCGTCGCCCACGCCTTCTGCATGAGATGCTCCAGTCCAGCCTCAGTGTTCTACGTCACTCTCTCCACGTACGTTCCCGCGACGCCTTCCGCTTGACGCGTTCCGCTTGACGCGTTCCGCGCCGCTTCGCATGGCACTCAGGCGCCGGCCTTGCCATGCACCTGCTTCATGACCTCGCGCCGTGCACGACTCGTGTGATCCACCCACGATCGACCCAGGGACACACGTGGCGCCCCGGTGACCGTGGAACGGAAGAAACATTCAAGGACTGCGGACGCTTGGTGTCTGAAGGGCCATCTGGAGTTCGGCATGTCATACATGTGTCTATATTATGTGGACTCCGATTAAACAAGACAACACTTATATGCTAGTTTTATATATTATAGATAACTTATATATTATACATAATTTGACAAAACTTGTGTAGTGTATAAGATGCCCTTGTTGGGTCCTGCACTCATCTAACAGAAAGAACCCAGTTGCCTATAAAAGGCCCTGACCAGGTCCCAGCACTCAATTTAAGGAAAATGCAATCCTCCTATAAAATGCCCCGTTGACCCTAACAGCCTCAAAATCCTTAAAGTTTACAACATGCCAAAGTGGACCTCGTACCTCCAAAACCCTCAAAAAAGCACCAAGATTCAGGCTGTGTGCCTCCCATGTTGCCTATAAAATGAGGGTCAAATTTGCCATAATATAGGGCAAAAGCATTGGCATTTTATTGGCGAACACCGGTGGGGGATCATATATATATATAACTTGATAGAATCTGACTGAAGTTGTTAACCAAAAAGCAACAACTTCAGCATACTGAAGCCCTAGTGTGCTTCCATTCAAGGACCCAAGGACTTCATTAAGCCATCCCTTAGGCATAAAATAAATGGGACCACCCAAGGGTGAACCCCATTTTAGGAGCTCCAAGGACACATGACAGTTCAACAAAGAGTTCACATATACCCTTTTGTTACCCTCAAATACCTCCCGCGTAACAAGCATCCCAAGAATACGGATCACTCTCCCTACACCATCCTACACCGACCACCAGCGACTTCGTCTCCGACCCCCCTACACCGACCACGGCGGCGACGGACGCGAGCCTTCCAGGCGTCCAAGGGCAAAATGGCCACGCGAAAGCCGGCGGCCGTCACCGACGCACCTGACAGGCGAAGTCGAAGGACGGCGCGCCGGACCGGCGAGAATCGATCCTGGGGACCCTGGGGACCCGGTTGACGGTGCCGGTGGCGTGCACGGTAGAAGGGCGGGAGCAGGTGGAAAAAGCTGCGGCATGAAGCTGTTGGTATGGTGGTACGGGAGTATTTGCGGCTGAGTTGGTCCACACGCCCAATCCTGGGCCACACCACACCTGCCCACTGTGAAGCCAAGAGGCAAAAGGTCTTCATGGCCAAAGGCCACTCGAGATGCGATAGACCTCAGCTCGTCCCATTGGATGAAGACAGACTTTAAGGCTCCCCGAAGTGAAAAAAACTGCCGAAGTGGAGCATCCGGTCGTCCGGGTGGCGAAGTCCGGGTGGCTGGGTCCCGGCCGGCAGTAAGTGCAGGATCTTCCCTTCAGGAGACCCCGACAGGATGGTCGAGAATATGAGAAAGAATGGTCTGACGTCTGACTATGTCTGCCTATGTCTGCACATGACTATATAGGTCTGGGGACCGGATGTCACAACCTTCCTTGACTTCACTACTCCCCCGAACCCCTGGATTAGGTTGTAGCGGGAAATGGTCGAAACCACGTATCGCCTGCAGTTTTGCCCTGAGGCTTCAGTTTAAAGAAGGTAGTAGGTTGGAGGCCATCGCTATTAGGTTGGAGGCCATCGCTACTAGTGACTAGTGACAAGAAACTACTAGTAATAGGGGCATTGCTACTAGTAGATTCTCTCTCGTAGTAACAAGGGCATGACATGACTATTTTCCATTGGATAAAGGTACGATCAATCTGAACTCACACCTGAGAAAGAGCAGCGGTCTTCCACCGTCCGGACGGTTGGAATCTTCACCAGTCAGCAGAATTCCGGGATGCAAAACCTCCAGGCTTGGACTTCAGAGATTTTTGGACCACAGATTCAAGTTTTCCTCACTCGCCACCACTCGGTTCAGAACCACTGTGACTCACTAAGATCCACTGTTTCGAAGGTCCAGGCATCAAACATCTCGAAGAGAAAGACCGAGACTGGAGCCAGTGGTGTTGGTGGTGTCAACTTAAATGAGACATATGAGTCAGTGGGTTGAATCATTGAATCATCCCAAGTAAAGGTTGAAATAGGTGTCTGTTTTCTTTTTTGATAGGGAGACTTTCCGGGGTCTCCCCGGTCTCCCTATTAAAATACACACCCAAATAGATATCTGAAACCACCACCAACATATCAACATACCAACAAAACACTTGCTTACCATCTCAACACCGAGTCTCTAGAGAGCGCCAGCTCGTTGGCAGCCTGGTTTCGGATGAATCCAAGAGTGTTCCTCTTTGGTCCACATGCACCAGGTAAACTGTTCCCATGATGTCGATCAATGTATGTCGATATCATGTCCCTGGGACCCAGGTGAAGGCGACACCCTCGTTTTGTGGGGAAGAGGGGATGTCCCGCACTAACTTAGCCAACTGCTTGGCTTGGCCACACATGTGCTTTGATTCGTGGGAAGGGGATGCGCTTGTGAAACGACCAATCGTCCGAGAAGGTTCCTTCCCGATGCGCATGGGAAGTTGTGACAGTCGTCACTGAGCAAAAACACAGACCGGTCAACCGGTCAGGCCGGTTATAGGACGCAACATGGTCATCTGACTTGGCCCTTCAGCAAAACATAGCAAAACACTCCACACCGATGCTTTTTCGGATGCATACGGTCTATACCAGCACCTACCCAGTTCAGATGGTGATAATCGATAGTCCTATATATATATATATATAAAAGTATATGTATAATGGGATGTAGCATGTATATACATACTATACAAGTACATGCTACTATTCATGCTATAGGACTATAGTCCTAGACAAGTACATGCTAGTCGAAACCACCGCCGCGGTTCGTCCTTCCGGCGCGGCTCGGCTCATCGATCTCCCAAGCGGCGGTGTCACCAAACCTCGCGGTGGGCGCCAGCAGCATGGCCGGCCTCGGTGGGGAAACGAAGCGGTTGGAGTGGCGTTTCAGGTGCTTCGCGTGGGAAGGAAGCAAACAGGGCGTTTTGAGAAACGAACACAGAAATTCAAAGCACTTGGACCAAAAGCGTCTTCAACTTCGATCGAAGGAATTCGGATGATTCGTTTAAAACCCCACATCGCCCGAGCACCCTCCCTCCAGCTTGTTCCATGAACACCCTCAAGGTCCGGTGTCGAATTCGAGAGGCGTCGCCGAGGAGAGCATCTTGGCCGAGACGCACAAAGCCACGGTAGAAGCGACGAATGCCGCCTTCCTTGTAGAGGGAGCTGGCCACTTCTTTGATGGTGTGCCCATTCCTCATGCCATGAAACAAGAATGCGCACCTGCTATTCTGGTTGTTAGTCTGCTTGACGTTACTTGGTTGATACGACCCGACGTGGTTAACTTACCGCATCAAACAACAACATACATACACCAAAGCAGCACAATCAAGCTTTCCCCCAAGGGCAAACCTCATCTGGCACAAGTTTTTGCCATGCAAAACCAGTTAATCCGAGCACCCAGTCTAGGATCGTTCCATACGGCAAGCCACCTGTGCATCAAACTGTGCTTCTCAATTCTCAAGCACCTCGCCCAAGCGGCTTGTACTGGTATTCCATGATGGTTCGAAGCCACATCAAGGGAACAATGTACATGACCTGAGCGAAAGTGTCGTTCCACCTGGTCCCGCAAGTGGCATGGCCGGGTTTCGTTAGAAACGCATCGCCGGGGCATGGGCATTGGAAACCACGGGAACTCTTGCAATCCAACTCTTTTGAACAGTGCAATCTACCACTTCTGGGCTGGATTTCATGTGTGATGCGACGTTGCCACCTTCTGTAGGTGAATCCTCCTTTAAGATCTATACTTAGCATCGAATCACCAATCAGATCATATATCATGCGGTAGAAGTTCATACCTGCAGGTATCACTCCCCTGACTCGTCTGTCACTCACTCCATCACTGAAATCGCCGCAACGCCGGACCTCTCCACACCGCATCCACCAGCTCCACCGCCCGGCCTGCGCGCATCCGCCCGCCACGCCGCTGATCAGCGCGGCCGTCATGGCATTGGGCTGATAGCCCAGCGAGCGCCATCCGCCCGCCGCGTCGGCCATGCGGGGGACGGACGACGCAGCGGGCTTTCGGACGGGGACGGGAGCCAGGCTGGTGCAGTGAATGGCTGGGCCTGGTGCTTGGCCTGGCTGGGGGTGGCTGGTGCCCGAGACGAAGAGCTTTCTGATGCTTTTTTGGGGAGATGACAGTTGATGAAGATCCATTCTGGGGAGGTGCAGATCCATAAACAAGCTGAGGGGATGACCCCAGCGAGGAGGGCTAAGGCCACCAGTGCTTGGTTGTGATGGGAATGTGTCCTGCTGGCAAGAAGATACGTGGCAAGTGTCAAGTTGGGTGGACAGGAATGGTCAAACTCTCATTGCCTATCATTGATTTCAATTCACAATATCTAACATCTGAAATCTAAAAGCTGTCTTTTTTATTCTGTGTTCTTTTCTGGCTAGACTCTTCTAATTAATCGTCTTGGAAACACAGGCTGCAGCTCGAGCTATTTGTGCTGAAGCATGCTGAAGCCATGGAGTGCGAGAACGATGTTAAGACTCGCACGGTGTTGCCATGCTGATGCTGCGATTCCCATGGTCTGCTCTTGGACCAGTGCTGCATTGCCCACAACTCCAAAGAAACAGTCAAACCACAAAACACACCAAGACTTCTAGACCGCAAAAGACTTCCACCAACACGCAAGACTTCGCCAAAACCGGCTGTGAAGTCTCCTGATATTCGCACAAAAAGACTGACTGGCTCAAGCTTCTCACAGCTTGGCGAGCCAGAAACCCTCCGCTCCCACCAGTCCCACCTGGGCTCAGCGGGCAGTGCACCCAGCGGCAGTGCTCAGCGAGGTGTGAAAAAAAACTGCAGAATTTCTTGAAGCATCATGCTGAGCCATTCGTGTTCATGAGTTGCTGATCAATGTCGAGATCGAGATTACAAACATTTCACTTCACTTGCGACTTGATGGAACAGGTAGCACCGCATGTCTTGGGGCCCAACAACAGCAACACAAATCGATCGTCTGGTGCTTCTTGGGCCAAAAGCTTCCAGAAAGCTTCCACGGTCCACAGCGGATCTGATCCGTCTATATCCGTCTTCTGCCAATGCGACAGACCCTCCAAGTCACCAGGTGGTTGGGCAGCTGCAAACGACCCATGTCGGGGTGCTCTTCACGAACGGATCGGTGTACCATGGTGTACCTGTTCTCCACTCACGTTGTGGACTCAAAACCACCCCGAGCTCTGTGGTTGCGGGTCGAGCCGAAGACATCGGCGGGTCATGGCACCAGGAGACCGATCGAGCACGACCATCCCGTTTTCCAACGTCTCCGTTGGCAAGCGAAGCTGAGAACACAGCAGGTCCGGGAAATCATATGCTGCCTCTGGGCCTCTAATTGTCGTTGGATTCTTCATTTTCATCTTCCATATTTGCATGATGTCATTGACTATAGAATTGGCTTCCTCTCCAGATCTGTCTGAAAGTTCTGGAGACCTCGACGGCCGAAAGCGACCTCGTCGCTCGTGCGCACAGCACGTTGAGATTTTGTACATCGCGTCCCACACGTGGCGCCGGCTGATCGATGGGGAAGAGTGGGAGGATCTTCTATCGTTTTGAAAACCAAGAGTCAGCACCCCATACTCTTGGTTCAGCCAGGCTGAAGTGTTTGGCATCCCTTCCAAGAAATGAAGCATGAACTCGTGTGAAATCCGCATCTGTTGCACTTCTCGCGCAACAAAAAAGAGTGTACGAAATGTGTGTGACGACCATAACCATCTCCTGAAGCAGTAGGAACTCCAAACAAGGAGGTTGCAAATTAAATGCTGGGGTTGACCAGCGGGCCTGGCCTGGCCTCAATCAATCACCCTGGCAAGCTTTGGCCAGTTAGCATCGCTTGCGACGCTTCACAGGTGTGTCCTCGTTCGGAATGGTGGAGCGGAGCTCCAAGAAATGTGTGACAACGAAGAAAAGCCCGTTTAACGTATTAAGCAGCAGCTTCTTGTTCCTAGTAGCTGTTTGGCATTGGCCTGTTCGCTGCTTCGGCGACACCGGCCGAGTCCTCCCACAGGTGACCACACGGCCGCTTGCGACCTGCGGCTCGCTGAGCAGCGATTCCGGTCGTTCGCGGATTCGGTATGAACATCGGAGGCAACCCGCGCATGCGATCATGATCCATCTGGAATCTTGGAGCAAACAAAAACATCCCGACAAAAACAAGGCATGCAAAATAAACACTCACCGCTTCATTCAGGTTCGAGGTGCCTGAATCGCAATAGAATTATCATGAATTATAGAATACTCACCTCAAAACAACAACCAATATTCTTGACATTGACAACCAAACATTCCAAGGATTGCTTGCACTCTGCACCCATCGCAGTCGTAAAAGCTCACCCACAGCTGAAGAAACAAAAGAAAAGGAGAAGCACAGAATAACAATCTCCATTTACAAGACTTTTTAAGGTCGACGACTGTTCATTCATGAAGCAGGGAGGAAAGGTCTACCACTTCAAATCCAGTGCACCATGCACCACTGGTGCCACCGGTCCCTGCCTCTGGCACCGACCTGTTGGAAAACCATCCGTCGTCGAGCTCGCTGATCAAAGCGCCTGGTTGGCGTACGTCCAACGCCTTTGGACGTGAAATGACGCAAGTTCTTGTGTCCTGTGACGTTGATTCTCAGATCCACGAGAATCTGGTGCCTCCAGGATGTTCCAGGTGTCTTTTTACAAAAGGTACTGACTGCCATGGTATTTGCCCATATTGAATATACATGTTCTGTATAGTAAAATATCACAAAAACACATTACAAACCACGAAAGCACGCTCCTTTGCCCCATTCCAGCGCGCAGCAACGGTTGCACGTTGCATTCGGGCCGCGTGCCACGCCTCGACGATTCCAACGCCCCCTGCAGCGGACCCGTCCGATGCCGGGGGCCGACCGTCGGGTCAGTCGTCGGCCGTCTGAGGTAAAGAAACAGGGCATTTGGCGGTTGGGATGCTCTGCCCTGCTGTGCTCAATGCATCCACCGTTGTTGCAACCCTGGACGTGAATCAGAAGCAACGATCAGTGCCATACCACCATATACCACCCAGTGGCCCAGGTCCCCGAGCAGCTTCCAGGAGCCGGCCACACAGCAGCAGCATCCAAAACACAGCGCCCACCTCGCACAGGTGCGACCGGTGGGTCAGTGGAACTCCGACACCTTCACCGAAGTTCCCTTGCTGGTATACCCACGTGTGATTTGTTGGACGGGCAAAACTCCGTCATGTAGACTGCAGTGATGATTAAACAAAAAAACAATTGGAAATGATTGGAATTCTGATTCCGGAGCCAATTGTCGGGATAAAAAAGGTTGAACTTTCTTAGGCAGGAAACCAATCTCTCCAAAAGGTTAAACTGGTTATCCACTGAGTCGGTAGGTGTTCACCAAGTCTTCCGCTGATATGTTCAAGTCCAAGAATTTCAACATGATGAGAGCGTGTTTGAAAGCGTGTTGCTCACAACATCTCAGAACCAATCACGCAGCCATGTGAATCGCACAAGCAGGGATTCCTTTGCGCGATTCCTTTGCAAGGGGCTTGGGGTATTTGACCTTTGACGACAACATTGGGATTGACATATATTGACATCGTCTATAATATCAGCCCCCGTGTCGGGGTTGGTTCATGGACACCCCTGAACCTCCAAGGGGCTACTCAGTTACTCCCTCTTACAAACACATCAAAAACCTATAAAAACATTAGAATATAACTGACACTGTTGTGTCTATGAAAGAGCACCCGGCCTGTGCTAAGCAAAGACCCAGCAGCCGCTGCAAAGCCATTCTCAGTGCTTTCATGGCCGACTTTCCAATGTGACTGTCAGCTTGTGAAAGCAAACAACAGGATGTTTGCTCGCATTTCTGAGAGGCAGGATCCAATTGAAACGCAACGTATGTATATAGGTAATGACTTACGTCTCAAAAAGCACTTGGAAAGTCAAACATCCTCCATCTTTGGGGGGTGCAAATCTGTGCAAAATCTGTGCAAACCCGTGAAGAGCACGTGCTTGAAGAATTGTCGTCATTACTGATCACGCACGATGTTCCAGAAACTGAATAGGCCATTGCTGTATACGCACTTGAGAGCCACCAAGGCCAGAGCTGTACGTGTAAAGCAGCTAAGCAAGCCTGAAGCTGATGCGCGCACGTTGCACGTCGAAGATCCTCGATCTTGGCGCGGTCATCACTGTGTCTAGTCCTTCCATACTGGGTCTATAGCTATAGGCCATCGTGCGGCAGCAAGGGTGCATCGCCATCACTGTGACATGCACACTCATGGCACATCCACATGTCTGCCCGTTTCTTTGTCTTGGAGTCTATCAAGAGAAGCATACTCTTGACAGAACCGATCATTGGACTTGCAAAAGCTATACAACGAGGACTTGCAAAAGCTACAAATCCATCACAGAACCAAAGCTTCTTAGATTCACGCTACCTGTGGAACTAGTATCGATGGCATGATTTGGCAAGAGATTTCAAGAGACCCAAGAACCACAAGTCCGAGATAGTCCCAGTCAGTCATCTGAAGCCAATGAGATAGAACTGTGATGAACTGTGTATACTGACTTCGCCCTGACTGCAAACATGTAGACAGCGAGACAGCTTGACATACAAAGACTGAAACATGTCGGACAAACCACTGCTTTGTAGCTAGTCCGCAGCTCCAAAATAGGTAGCTGAGTCCGTCACTATAAGGCACAGCATGCCAATGGCCAAGCCGCCCAAGATCACGCCATCTGCACAGCCAAGATCACGCCGCTTCATGGATGTCCGCTTTTCACAACATCAAATCGATATTGGCATGTGTCAATCAACTTAGTCATCTTGTTTTGTTCAAAGCTCGTCATAACGTTCCAAGATCTGTCTACCAAAGACCCATCGGACCCATTGAAAAACCACCTACTTCGGTCTTTTCGTCACAATCATCACGTGCTCAGTCATGTTATGGACGGACCACCCAACTGCGGTTTGAACATCGACCCTGCTCACGTGCTCGCCTTGCGGCGGTGCCTCGAACGTGCTCGCAACGTCGTTGCGATCGAACGTCCCAGCTTCGTCCCAACCGGCGTGTGTGGTCGATGTTTGATGTTTGTCCAACATGTGGGCCACTGATGGCTTCAAACACCAGAGCAACACAGGAACCGCTGATTTTGGGCCGTTTGCGTTCCCGATTTCTTCCAAATTCTAAGCCTTTGATCGGATCAAATGATGCAACAGGCTCAACTAATCAGCTAGTGGCTGCATGCCTTGTGGGTCGACTCCTTGCGGCGCGAGCCTGGCCTTGTGATGAACGTCCCACGGGGCAAAGCTCATCGAACGCTCCTAGGGATTCATGGCCTGAACTGCCTCATCTTTGGACTTGGAGCATGTCATCTCAACTGGCTCACCTCTGAAAAGGATGAAAGCTCTGGAAGACGGTCATTGAAACCGATACAACAGGAAGAAACGGACCATACATATCCAACGCATCTAAACACTAGGGTCTCCTCATAAAACGACCCCTGCAGCCAATCTAGTCTCACAAGCACGTACGGAATTGACAAATCTCAGTTTGTCAGGACTTCTCCAACTGATTGACATGTGAATCGACATGATTTCAGTGCAGCTCCGAATCCAATCCGAAACCCCATATTTGTTGGGATCCGAGCCAGAAGCACAAAGCAGAATCAAGCTGAATGTTGTCTGACTATAGAAAAAACAAAACAAATCATGTAATTCTTTCGGAAACCGCCCACATGGAAGCAAGAAAGGCCCTTGGAACACTTTTTGTTGGCCTTGATATGCTGTAGCTTTTTCGCAGAAATGGAGCGACGAACAGAAACTGCACAAGTGATGCTTAACAAGCTTAGCTTGCGAACTGACTTTTGCTTGATGCTTGCAGCTTGATCCATCAATGACTGGCTGAGTCAAGGCGTTGCATTTTCGGCCTGCACTTCGTCTATGACGGTGCCAGAACAGCGAAAATGGGGCTGGCGATATCGATCACCGCAGCATGTTTTGAGAGCGAAGCAGTCCGGAGCATACGAACGTGTCAAGTGCTGGAACATGCTGGAACAACCTGTGGTGCTTTCTCAACGAAGAAATCACAGAAACAACACTAGAGCAATATCATGCAATATCCTTAAATTATATTGCTATTATGGGGATAAACACCAACCAGCCGTATCTATGCTCCGAATATCGCTTGGTCCTGCATAAATTACCCATCATAGTGGTTCGGAAAACATCATGCAAACAGGCTGAACCCATTTCTGTGGTTCAAAGCCTATCGAAATCTACTTAGCTGCAAAACAATATTCTTCTCTGAGACTGTAGAAGGTGACCCTTGGCTGCCCTTGACAAACATCGACAAACTGCTTTTCCTCCATTCCGGAGCTAACTCTACACATTGCTTAGGCTTAGGCAAAGGGTACAAATCAGTAGCTTGCCCATGTCCCTAGGCATGGGATGACGCTTTCATCGATGCCCTCGGGGGGTCAGGCGCTGCTTTGGAGGTCCATGGGCAATGACATCCTCCAAGGATGCTTCGGATGCTTCGCTGCGAGAGTCGAAGAGCCAAAGAATCCAGTCGGAAGAAATTGGTCATTCATGTTCATTCATGTTCGTGCCATGACCTAGTTAACTCCTAATTTCCATCATGTCCAGCAAAGTCCAATCTGCACAGCTTGCCATCTGCCTTTCACCATAACGGCAGGGGAGATGATTCCAAACAAACTGGACACGATGGCTCACAACAAAGACCTCTTAAACACGTGTTGTTGAGAGCAGACTGCAGGCGGTCACCCACTTCTGCACTCCACCAGAATGCGACAAACGACAAGCCGGTCATGAATGGAACCAAACCAAAGGTTCCCTACGATGTCGGTCTTCCAGGGGTCTTTTGGTAGCTTCGTTTGGTGTGCAAACGATTGCAGGCGATAGATGCTGTCCTTGCAGGCTGCGACCAGCACTCCAGCAGCCAGGCCGCCACAGCCACCCACAGAGCCTGAGTTCGTCGATGGTGCAGTGCCAAAGTGGCCAACATGATTGCCCAGAATGGCGCCTCTTGTTTGCCTGCTACACAAGTCATGTGACATTCCTCATACAAGATCCAGGATGCGATAGTCGCTGGTCGCTTTTGTGCATCAGCAAAGCCATCTTGGTTGTGCATCAGCAAAGCCATCTTGGTTTTATTCTGACTGGCTGCCTTACAAATGCCTTACAGTCTCACTTTGGCAGGTGAGCTTGGTGAATTTCAGCTTAGGAGTTGCTCCCAGCAACAGCCCTGGTGTATATATATATATAGTCTGGGACTCTTGCAAGAGGAAACCAACGTCATGCCCTCTGAAAAGGACACCAAATCTTCACTTGGGACTGGTGTAATGAGAACCTTGGACCCGCAGGTTCTTGTCAACTTGTCCTCTACAAGCACACTTTAGATGGCACCTAATGTTTGAGCCATTAGCTCTTAGCTGTCCGAAAACGGAGACCGGAACGCCAAGAAACGCGCGCGTAAACCACTGCCCAAACCGGCCAAGTCGCTGCCCAAGAAAGCTCCAAAGGGTATGGAGAGTCCAAAGGTGAATAACGCACAAGGCACTCCACACAGGCCACCCACACAGCCTGGCTTCGGCACATGACTTTTCCCAAGAAGCTGTTGCAGTCTTCACCCAACTGCTGGATAAATTTCGAGGCCGCAGGGAAGGAACTCATAGTTGACATGAGTTCCAAACAAGGTTCATGTCGACCCACGTTGAAGAACCCTGCACCACCTCAAGATTCGTATCCAAATACCTGTCCAATCTGCGGTTGTATTGGCAGGGTCGACAGGAACTTTGGTTAATTAGAATATCAATGGTCAAACTCCCAAAGTCCCAATATATTGGTTATCCAGAGTCCCGAACTTTGGTTATATTGGAAGTTTGGTCATCCCAATTTGCAATGTCCAAACTCCCAATATAGCTCGCGTTCGTTCCTCAACATTCGTTCCTCAACGAAGAAGACGTTTCCCCCCATTGGCCTCCAGCGACGCAGCCCACAGAGCCACATCCAATGCTGACCCTGCAGCGCACGGCTCGATTGTTCCTCTACAAGTCTGGTGTCCTAAAGGTCTGGTCTCCTGGCAGCGAGCCTTTTTCCGACGTTGCTAAGGGGGCAACCTGAACAAGTGTGGTGATTGCTTGGTCAGTAAACATGTTCAAACCTTTGGGGTGGCATGTGTTGTCACTTGTCCTATGCAGTCACATGTACCTGGATTCCGCTGAGTGCCAAAAGAGACACCAAGCAGGTGTCGCTGCGGGCGAACGGTGTCATCCAGAAAGTGGATTGCGCGATCGAGACGACCGGGTTGACATCACACGGCCCCACGGTTGACATCACTGCGGTCAATGATTTTGTCCCTGACTCGGGGTCTATATCCCAGCTGTTGATACAGTATATACAATATTACCAGTACATATATGCAGGTGTCCAAACCCAAGTCCATTAGAGCCTAGAGCCTGATCCTCACCGAGTCGCGCGGTTGTGGTCATCAAGGAGTTCGCTCCAAACAAGTGTTTCATCTTTGCACCATGCGAGGCCTTAGTCCACAAGAAAACTGAATATTGGAACATGATGGAACGGTTTCTGCTCTCTGCTGGCAGTGCGTTCCGCCAAGCGCTCGGACTGTGTCACAGTGTGTTTTTGTGTCTTATTTTCTATTTTTTTTACATGGCTTCTCGTGACACAACATCTGGACGTTTGATGACTTCTGCTGCTCGGATCTGCACGGCACCATTCATGAAGCAAAACTGAGCAAAAGAATCAGGGTCTCATGAACCCCAGCACCACATTGGTAGCTCAGCCTGACCAAATTAGGAGCTGTTCTGATGCAAGTGCCAAACAGGTGCTGGCGGTGCTCCATTTCGCCCGGCGCTGGCGGAAAACGGAGCTGACATCCTATAGGCGTCCACATCCTATAGGCACACCCCAAGTTCAGGGACCAGCGAATCTGTACGAGTGGTGCGAAACCAACGTTCACCATCACCCCCCTTTGTGGGTCATGTCACCTTTAGTGTTTGCATCCGAAAATCACCATCCATACCCAATCATACCATATCATACCCATTCGACCTCCCACACAAACCCCAACCGACCCCACGGGCTCCGCCAGGAAACCCAAAAGATCTTCACCTTTCGGGCTGCTCCACGGCACGCCAACTTCAGCAGATCGGCCTGGGCCGTGGCACGGAGGCTGCGACACCACGCGTCGATCGACTTGCCGTTTGTTCTTCGGTGGCCGTTACGCGGGATTGGACGACCTGAAAGGTGGACCCCAAAGGAGTCTGCAGGATTCCAAGGCGCGAGCCCCCGCTCCAGAGAATGGAGCGAAGTTGGTTCTGTTTGCTGGTTTTCTTTAGGAGGGAACCCCAAGGTACCCTTGCTGAAGGACATGGAGACCAATACCCATGGGTTGTCGGTACCACATACCTCAAGGGGATGGCAATGACAAAAAGACTGGACTTGTTCTGATCTGTGAAGTTGTTGTTTTGAACTATAGCCATCGTCGTGTCAACCACACGCATCCAGCCTTGCAGGCCATCCTCCATGTTGGTGCAGAACATTCCAAGGAACAATCATTCGGACCAAAAACCGTGAGCCATCGCGAACCCTCTCCTGCTCTAGCTCATCCAAAAAGGGAGCTGCAAAATTGCAAAAAAAACACTCCGGACCGCCAACGAGTCGTTGTCAGACGTCTTCCCAGATCCGGCGGCCCGAGCCATTTTCGCACACGGAGACTCGTCACGTCACCGCGGTTTTTGGGCGCGCGAGCGGAAGTCCGAAACAAACGAGCCACAGAAATGCTCCAAGAAGTCTACCCGGAAAACACCGTTTTAAAAAACACCAAAAAAAAGACTCAAAACGACCTGTTTGTTGCAAAACCCAAGTGGCATAGACGCCCAATGTCCAGGAAGCAAGGAGTGTCTCAACCTCCTCTGCGTCATCGTTGATATCCTTCGTCTTCATCTCCTTCCACACAAGTTCCAATGACTCTTTGACAATCCGTGGTTTCAAATCTGGCCGCTTGCGCCAGTGAATTCATCTTCAAAAAATATCACAACCTATCTGATAGCATCTGATTGAAAAATAACATCTCAATCCGCCGGCCCTGGGGCACGGCGTGTTTTGGGTAGTTGGTTTTTTGTTAGTTTTTTGATGTTCTGTGTTAAGTTATGTCTTGTCTGCTTTAGTGCTCCCCCGGGCGGATGTTTGAACGGTCTAACCTGACCCCCCCCTTCCCCCCCCACATCCCGAATGTATGTAGCTCACATATATCATAGCTAAAGTGAAAGGTTGTGTGCGCTTCCTTCTTATCGTCGTTCTTCTCTTGTCGTTGTCCATGCATTGCGCTTCTGCTTTGCATGTGTTTTTCTCAGGTTTTGCACCTGCACTCACGTATCTATCGTTTTTTGCAGACTCAGACTGCTTGGAAATCCCCATGCCATACATGTCCTCATTACTCTCTTGTATCATGTCTGAGGGAATGCTATGTACGTTTGCTGCTTCGCACGGTCTACTTCGCTCATTGTGTCACATGTCATATAATTTGTCTTCTTGCTTGGCAGGCTATACGTTGCATCCCCCAATTTCATCTCCCTGTTCTCTTATTGTATCATAATGCACGTCATGTCATGTAGGCTCCTCTGTTGCTCCAGCTGTGTTCTGGATGATGCTGTTACTTTTTCTGCTCTGTTGCAGTCTTTCCTCTTGACGCAAAAGGTAATCCGCATCTTGGGACCATTGGCTGAAAAGGCCGGCGGAACAACCCGCAGGGTGAAAATATACATAACTGTCGTGTACTTGCACCTTCACCTTGGCAAACGGATCAAGACCCGACATTCTATTGGGTCTTCCCTTGTTGGGACCAAGCATCCCACTGAGCTTGAGTACTTACCAGGTTGAGTACTTACCCGGTCGTTGACCTTGTCGGTCAATCCCCTTTAAGTACCACTAACGCTTTGTTGACGTCACAGCTGGTCACCAGGCAGTGCACCCCGAACAAAACGCAGGCGGATAAAAAACATGGGATTTCCATTCTCTATAAGGTGCGTGTTTCCAGTGTTGAAACCGGAACCATTTCGCGGCAAACCCGAGAAACTTTGCGGGGCCTGGCTCTTCAGCTCTGGCTGCTCAGGCTCTTCCTTCGCCCTGGCCATCGTTCGCCGGTTCAACCAGTGGTGAACCAGCTTGCCCTACCCGTCGGCTGCTACTCATCTGCCTGAAGGTGTTTTCCACAAATATGTTTTTCAAACCAGATTGAGTCCGATGAAAAGTTGCATGGCTGTATAGTGTATAGGATCATAGTTCACGCGACTGATTCGATTGGTTTGCATTACGAGAAAACCTTGGGTCTCTCTCAAAACCACAATTGGCCCCGTCAAGCGGTGTCTCTGGCCCACTCTAGACTCTCTAGTTTTCTTTTCTTATCATCAATGCTTCCGGACTCCTGCGGGACCCCCCAACACCGCGCCGATCGCGACCAGAGTGGTTCTCATCACCTGACAATGGAGCAAGGTGTACGCCCAGGAATCGGCTGAGCGGAGCCGGAAATGGTGAATTTCAGGAAGCCTTTTAATATTTTTGATTTTCTGGAAAACCCTGCGGATTTGGTAGTTTCAACAGCAAACAATCTGTAAGGATATGCTCGAAGAGGTGTGAAAACCATTGTAAATATTGTAAGACATGAATGCTACTGCAATGTCCAAAGATACTTCACAGTGTCACAAGTGCATATTTCACTGCCGTACTAGCATTCAATTCTATACCTTAGGTCTTAGGTCTTTCAGGAGATTTCCCTCCATTGTGAAGTAGCACTGCAACCGAAAGAAACAATCGGTTGCTTTGGTTGTAACATGTTGTAACTATATATACAACGCAAATGGAATACAACCTGTTTGTAGTTGAAACATGTTGAAACAGTTTTCCACGGAGTTATTGTCCACTCATGTCCACTCCCATTTGGTTTTGAGAAGTGGATTTGATTTCCGCCGCTACAAAATTTTTTCAAAAAGGCACGCATACCACTGCCAGAAGGACCGGCTGTTACGGTCAACTGGATGCCCAGCGTTCAACGGCAAGTGGTGATCTCCCAGTCCAAACGGCATGGACTCCCAGTCTCTTCCCTCTTTTCGGGTTCGCGTCCTCGCCTGGGCCCACTAAGAGTCTTCTGACCTGTGTAGGCAACAAGTCACCCACAGGCTCTCCTGGGATCAACGACAAACGTCTTTGCAAAGAGTGCGACACAAAGGAGCGAGGCGTTTTTGTTCTTTGCGGTCTTTAAGGTCATATGTCATGAGATACGGTCAATGTTCCAACGGTCCAACAGTGATCGAGGCAGCTAGCAGCTAGCAGTTTCTTCTGTTTGAAATCGGGTCATCTCGTCCTCTGAACAGCAGTGTTTCCCGGTCGAAACTCTCGATGGACCCCCGAGTCGTGCACTCTGCGTTTCCTCCGGTCCAAGAAGCGGAAAAGCTTCTGCTGCAAGTCTGGGCTCAGTCCCTGTCGTAAAGCATCCTGGTCCTCCTCCTGAAAAAACGACGCGGTCCACACTGTGGTCGCTGTGAGCTACAAAAATTGTCAAGATGGCCCTTCCACGTACCTGTCTTGTGCACATCCAACATGTTGAGTAAAAGGGGGGGTGTTTTGTGGCTTTCGGGACAGTCAACTTATCGTCTTGGAGTTCACTAGTTCCAAGGCGATAACTTGAGTGCTATTTAAGGACAATTCAAGGACCAGTGAGCCCCGTCCTCGAGTCTCTTCCGTCGTCCCACCTGTTCAATGATCTTGACATCCAGGATTCTTTTGCACCCCAGACAGACATCAGTCCTCTGCCCAATTGAGCCATGACAGGTCACTGTACATTTGAGCTGGCGGACAAGTGTCTTGCACAGCCTCTCCGTGTATTTTCACTGCCTGCAGCATTGAGTCCAACCCTGGATGTTGGCTGAACCACAATGCTGCGAAGCCATCAACGTGCTCTCGTTGCAGCTTCGCATCGAAACGCCCGAGAAGACAAGAAACGAGACGATCGAGACATCGAACAAGACCAAACGAAAATCAACGAGACGATCTGACCGACAGTTCAGTTTATTAATGAAAGCTCCTGAACGAATGAGACAGTCGGATCCGAGACACGGGAACAAACGTCAATGTGGGCGTCCAAAAAAGCATCAAATGCTGATTATAGGGGAAGGGCACCTCAAACCGGACAAACACAACAAAACTAACGACAAACACAAACAAACCTCGAAGGTCGAGCCCGCCGACATGTCCTCTCAGCCCAAGCACCGCGAAGGTCGAAATACCCGAGTCGTAACGCCGAAGGAGACGTCACGAAATCGACAATGAAACGCGAAGGTCGATTTACGCGACGAGCAACACGAAGAAAACGGTCCCCAGCCACCCCCCAACCCCCCCAGTCGGAAACGTTTGCTTTTGGGGCAAACCCCCCCATTGTCCCAACATGTTGCTAAAGCATACAAGCAGCGCTTAGCCGAAGGAAAACAGCCAAATAAAGAGTCTTCGTCTCGCTTGCCAAACAAAAGGCTGTCCAAATTGATCGCAGTAGCACCTGTCAAACACCCTATATAATATATAATCAGCTGGGCTTCTAAGACTACTTCAAAAGAATCACCTGCAGGTTACCGTGACCAAAAACACAATAACAATCCCATAGAAGAGTCTATCCACAAGAAAATGGACAAACACCATGCAAAAAAAAAGATATAGACACTTGGGAGCTCGTTTTCTGTCACTCAAGCACTCCATTTCTTTCACAACATGATGTATCTGACTGAATTCAATTTCTGTCACTGAACTGGACGTCCAGGATCGGTGGCTTAGCAGAACTGTGCAAATCCTGTCCACTTGTTTCGAAGGATTGAAGGCTCCAGACAGCGATGTTGATCTATTTGAAAGCGCCAACGTGTCTGTGATGTCAGAACCGATTCACGCCCCAAGAAATCGTCAGAACCGAGTCTGTCTAGCAGGTCAAGGCAGGTCACAGTGTCAAGTGTCAAGGCAGGTTCCATCCTCCAAGTTGAGGAAGAGCAACATACCAAGTCTGAAGACACCTGAGCAACATGTGCTCACCATCGGTCAAGTTCAGCTCCTCATGGTTCTGGTCAGGCAATTGATGAAGATTGGTAATCCGAATCGATCATCATCAGCATCATCATGAATCAACATCTCATAATCTCGTATCATCGCATAGCAGCATAGCAGCAGCAGCATGTCCATTCCGTTCAGAACCCCGCACGGCGCTTCGATTTGCTCATGGTTCTGAAAGAATCTGAAAAGAAGGATCATACCTTTGCGTGGCTTTCTTAGACTGTCTGGGTGTGTCGGACTGTGTACCCCAAAAAGAACAACAACATGCAACAACAACAACAGCAACAACAACAACAACATTATGATGTTCACATCCACGGCATACATGCAGATTTCAAGTACACTCTCTCAAAATCATCATGGAAGTTTATGGCACGGCCCAAAGAGGATGACCCTTTTAGCCCGTTTCCTCTACGAACAAGTGGCTTTCACTCCACTTCTGACCATCCACGGAGTGCACTGACCATCCACATGTCCAGTCCCTCAAGCGACTGCGACTCGCGGCTGCCCTCCATCTGCGACTGCGCCGCTCAAGAGCCGCTGCTTCGCGGCTTCGACTCCATCCCGCAGGACTTCGAACCTGAGGGCGGTTCCGCCCACCCGTTCATGGCAGTCTCCAAGGGAGCAAAACCCGGGGGGGTGAACGGTAAGAGGGGAGATTAGACCCTGTGTGCCGGTCACCTTTCCCCGCGGCGTTGCCGGCAGTGTTGGGAGCCACACGCGGCGTCGCCGGGAGAAGGTGCAGGTGGTCCGACTTTTCCATCCTTGAGAGACGTCCCTTTTACATCGATGAGGATGGTCCCTCTCCGAAACCAACCGGGTACATCCGGGTACTCTCGTTTGGCTGTCCCCGTCTACGGATTGGGTGTCACACTTATCCTAAGACTCCACAGAACCCTCATATCTTGGCAGTATTCATGGTGTGGTTCCAAGCATCTTCAAGCCTGTAATATAGCAAAAGCACATGAACCGAACAAATGGACACCTGACAAAACACCATTATAACCACGTTCGCTGGATATCTCTGAAACCCCTTCCATTCAATCCTCTGTGGATCGGCAGAATGTATGAGTGTTCGGGTTGGAAACACCGGTGAGTTGGCGGTTCGGCACCTGCCGTTGCAGTGGTCCACCAGCGTTCAGACCGAATCACAGTGCAGGGAGTGCGCTCGCGCACAAGTGCGCTCGCTCTGTGTGCTATCTTCATCATCCAAAACTTGTGATTCTTAGCCCTGATGTTTCTTACAACATCAATATCCTTGTCATGTCTTGTCATCCAAAGTGTCCGTTCCTTCGCAAACGGCACAGCCAAGTGGCAAGGGTCTCTGCAAAACAACGCTGGGTACTTGCAACAAGGGCAGCAAACCCCGTTGCCAGACCAGCACAATGCAAATCCTTAGGGAAGGCATCAACAAAACCAACAACAGAACATAAGGAGTGGATTTACACATATTTACACCAATCCAACATATTAACAAAAAATATCCAAAGGGCGGTAAACCTAGGACCAACCAAGGCTTCTAGCATTTGGCCCACAATAATTGGACTCACAGGGACAGGGATCCAACTTATTCGACTAAGTAGGGCCGGGCCTAAGCGCTTTCAAAGAACGCGACGCGTTTAGCATCGTGTCGCTTCATTCTCGGGCTTGTCACGACTGATTTGAGATAACAAAAACACAACTAGAAGATACCCAAGACTAGTACCATCACAAAGTGGGCTCTCACCAAGTGTTTAAGTCTCAATTTCATGTCGCGATCACAAAGTTGCATCTTGCGCACGCATGCAACGCCCGATTTCATAGTCTACGGTAGAGGAAATGGCAAAGCTCAGGGTGTGTCAAACTTGTAGCCTTTTGGTCGCCCCACTTCACTGAAGCCTGACATAGACCCTTGGGCCAGCCTTAAAGAAAGTGACACCTTTGGTGCTTTTTGTGTCGCTTCCCACATGGCCATTATTTCAATATGACAATTGGTTTGACCACTCCTGAATCACAAGAACATCTTAAGATACATCCTTCTTCAGGATCTGCATCGAGCACACGAACGCACGCGACTTTCACCGAAGCAGCGCCAGGAGTGCTGCTGCAAGAGTCCCAAAACACCAAATCAGCATGGCAGGAATGGCCCAAGCGCACAGGAACGGCTCAATTTTGCGTGACTGTACACAGAATCACCCGTGGAACAGCATGCGTGATCATGTATGTAATTGCGGAAGTTTGATATGAAACCAATGATTCCGAGTCCTGAAGAGTTTGAATAGTTATCAAACAGGTGTGCATTTGAGTGAAAGAGTACATCCACCCCCCATCAGGGCAATGTCTTGGCAAATTAGTCTACATTTATATAATTAGTTTATATAATCTTCGCATGTTACCCTTAGCAATGATCTTAGAGTATTAAACCATTGCATTGCCTAATAGGCACCTTTTATGCTAGCTGCCCAACAGCTGCAGAGCGAACATACCAGGAATTTAATCTTACACGACTCCATGCAATCAGCCCACTAAAGTGCCGGCTGCCCAAACTGCTACCCTGCAATGGCCTGAAACAGTGGCATGTGTGCGTTGAACTCTAGTGCTGTATTGGTAGCAGTGGTGCTAGTGTAGTAGCGGTAGTAGTACGTACGACAACGGTGCATGAAGATTTGGTGCTCAAGGACCCAAGGAATGCTCGCCGACGTAACCATAGAGATCCGTCTTCATAGCCTGAACCTCGGCAATCCAGGGTTTGGGGGCAGGTTTTGTGAGAGACTCCCCTTCTCAACGTTCGTGAGGAGCATTGAAGCAGTCCCAGTCACACCGAGTGGATCTCTGCGTCTCTGGCCGTTTCTGGCCGTTTCTGGCCGTCCGTGGACGTGGTCTGCGGGTGTCGGTGCCTCTGGAAGACCATGACTCTGCAAGTTCCGCCTCTTTCGACTTGGTGACATTGGACATCTTCGTGACTTGATGACTCTCCTCCGGTAGGTTGAGGATGTCAGTAGTTGACGAGGCGATCCCCAGTCAGTGTGAGTATCTCAAACCACTGTCTTCTGCAGAATCGAGATTGAGGCACCAAGAAAGTAGCTGACCGCTTCAGGAAAACCCGTTGGCGATCCTGCGGCAGCCTTCAGCTAGGTCTCTGCATTTCAAGACGCTGCGCCTAAAGCCGCACGACTTCAAGCGCGGCCCGACGAGATCGCCATGAGATCTCGCGACACACATGGTTCCATGGGCCATCTTTTGTGGCCTCCCAAGGCCAAGCCTAGGGCGAAAAGATTCACTGGCTGATGCCAGGCTATTTACATGAGGGATGAAGGACGTTCTTCACCATAGAAAGCAGCGGCGAATATCCCATCGTTCCATTCGTCCGTCGTAGCCCCCATAGGGGCCAACAGTCACCTCAAGACAAAGAAAACAAGGCCACTTGAAAAGTCGTGTCATCGAATGGATGTCGAATGACCGGTGAGAATAGAATAACTGACCTTTGAGTATGACCAATGTATCTAACAGTTATATATTTACATATTTCATCATATTTCAATATATATTTCATAACGATTAAAACATAAAGGGTCTAGTCACTAGTCTGCCATAAGATCTCATATCCTTGGGAGCCAAGGATTATATGAACTCTTCCTTTCCCCCACATGGGAACAAGGTCCTCACGTCACATCTTACCAAACCGAGCGTCGCCCTCGGGGCCATCGGGCCGCAGGTCTTCCTGCTGCGCCCACTCTTGGAGCCACCGCCAGGCGTCCAGCCGCGGCCAGCGCCTCGGGTGCGAACCTTCGGCCTGGTGGATCACGTTGAGGCCGTTGTACACCTGGCGCCCGATGTACACCGTGTGCTGAACGCTTGTTTCATCTGGTAGACGTTACGTTGGCAGTTGGAGGCATTGGATTTGGGGATTCACCGGTGGCTGAACGGGCGTGTTCTTTTGGGGGGGAGGTTGAACCTCAAACGAAGATATCCACCAGGAAAAAATGGAGTTTGCTGGGTTCAGAGCTATGGGCTTTGTCCTGCAACACTTCTATGCTGGGCGATGAGCAAACTGTGGGGGGATGTGCCTCGCGACTGCCGAATATCTTGGAGCAAAACGATGGTTGAGCAAACAACTGAAAAAGATCTTTGTTTTCCTTGGATTGGGCCTCTGTGGTGATAGATGCTCGTTTCTTGGTCAAGGAGGATGAGGATGTGCGTGTGCGTCCGTCTTCATTTTCAAGAGGCTTGTGTTTCGAGCAAGGAACAGGAACATGCAGGCATACTCTTCACTGCTCTTGCACAAAAGCTGAAAGATCCTGTTTATGAACCACTTATGGAGAACGGAGCATGTCAATGCAATACAGAAACGCTTTCCATCCCAGTTTGTGCGGCAAGGTGTGGCAAAACCAGGCCTTCTGCAACGGCAAAAGGCATGTGTGGATACCCAAAGATCCCCGGATCCGAGGGTGACCGGGTGGTACTAAGAGAACATGCACCAAAGGGGTTCGTTACACATCATCCATGTAGATATCAATATCATGTGCAAGATAAAAACCTTCGACCCTATCATCATTCCCTTTGCTCATCAAGGCATGTGGATCACATCCCATCACCTCCCACCACCCGGACCGCGCGCGACCGCGAGACCGCGCGTGCCACCTCCATGAGGAGCAAGTGCTGCACTGGCGCCACCTCCTTCCAAGGTCCCAACAGCCCCTCGAACCCGCAGGGTCTGACAGGCGGTCTTGCAAAATGGTCTGTCAGGCGGTCGGGTCTCTGTGGAAAAGAGTCTCTGTTCAACGAATGTCCAACAAGGTGCACTTGGAGTGAGTCATGCTGCTTCTCCTCCCCCTCTTCCTCCTCTTCTGCAGTGATTGTCATAACCCAGAAGCTGCTTTCCTTGAGAGCCATTTCACAAGACAGAAATGTGTTTGATGCCGTGAATGCCAGCAGTATTCGGTCCTTTGAACCACCAGGCCACTATGGCTGGGTCAACGGAAGGATTTTGGACAAAGCAACAAAAACATCAGCCTTGGTCGAGAAACACGCGTTACATGTGTTTTTACTAACATAAATGACACATATAATTTACAAAAACAAGAAACAATGACAGAAAAAACACATACACAAAACATCGGAGAAACAAGAAAAACAACATGCTAGGCTGAGCTCACCGTGGAGGAACATATTTTGCCCTTGGGATCTTCCGAGCGTCTCTGGCTTTCACTCGGCTCAAGTATTTCATGAGACTCATCCCACCTCGCCTTTCGAGCAGCGCGTTTGCGAATGCGAGCAACGTGCTCTCTCTGCGCACACGTCTACCGTCAGTCTACGAAAGCCACTCGTCTTTTGGCGGGCGAAAAAGAAGCAAGAAGGTCCATAGGTCACTTGACGTGTCTAGGTCAGCCTATAGGTCCTTAATGGCAATCAAATCACAAATCAAGGACACCTTTGCGAGATCTTTCACAAATCCTAAAAACACAAATAGAGAGAGAGAGAGAGCAACTCCAGGACTCTAGGAGAACACAACGCCTCTTTCTCACCTACTCTATAGGGAAGAACTCAAATGTGATTTCCTGTTCTCCATGGTGTCAAACCGCCATAACTCGTCCTGGCGCGTGGCCCGATGCCTTTCTACTCGAAGGCAATTTCTCATTGTTTGGCCCACGTGTTGCCTCAGCGCGAAGAAGCGATTCCAAAGCGGAAAAACAAGGTCGGTCTATCCGGACAGATGTTTTTACAGAAATCCAGGATGGACATCAACGAACGGAACACACGGACACGCTCAGAATCTCGTGAGCACAACTGACTAAGTGGCAAATACTCGAAGCTCAGAATCTCGTCGATGCGCACCGTGGCCTTCCTCAGGTACTTGGGATCTTGGAGGAAACGCTCCTGGCGGATGCCGAATGCGTGCGACCCGATGCAGCGGCTTCCCACTCACTCCATGGGACTGGCAGGATACGACTCACGAGCCCAATTGAACCACATATGTATCGCCCTGGTAGACCCACATGGAACCCGAAAACCACTATTGTAGAGTACAATCGTCTTCCAAAGGTCCATTTTCAGGGTCCATGTCTCAATCTTGCGGGGTGTATGTAAATATGTCGTAATATGCCAGTCCGGGAATTGCTTGGATTTGCCCCATGCTGCAGATTGCCGGTCTCTCCTCAACACGCGTCACATGCACGGCGGTCTCAGCATTTTCGTGAACACAACAAGTACTCTGGGATGATAAAGCAAGGGCATTCAAGGGCTCTGGGTCTGGTAACCATCAGCTTTAGTTCCCCACCCCAACTGACTTTCCTGGAAAGCGATAATATATAAATGGACATCGAAGAGTCAGGGAGTACCGGTATCTCTGCAGAACTCCCGTCTCCTCGGCTTCGCAGGGCTCGTACTCATCACCCTGCCAGCTATTTGGAGGGCTTGGCTCCCGAAGCAGACTGGCCTTGTGCACAAAGAGAGAGAGAGAGAGAGAGTCAGACTGGCCTTGTGTGCTGCAGGCCTCGTGTACTGCAACTGATCCCGTATAGAGAGAGATTTCAAAATAACAGTTATGGGATCAGTTGCAGCAGTGTGTTCTCTATCTATACAACATCTTGGCCATCCAGGATGCCAGTTGTTCCAAAAAAAGAAAGACGTTAAACTGCCTCAAACCGATTGGACGTATAATGACGTAATCATGCCAGCGGCCCCTTCGGTCATGCAGGTGCGGTTGGTGACATCAGTGCATACGGATAGACCGGTGGTTCAGCCCCTCAGCACCACCGGCCCCGAACCGGATGCCTCGCCGATGAGGAATCGGAGACGCTCGGGGACCCAGGTGGCTTCGCCCCTCTTGGCCTCGTTCTCCTGACGAAAGGCCAAACGGCTGAGGCCATCGCTAGTAGAGGCCATCGCTATTAGAAAAGAGACATGACCGGGGGGGCAACAAGAGTTTATAAGAGGTGAATGGGCACCCAATGGTACCCATGTGCCTCTATGTGCCTCCCAGGAACCTCCAAGCGCCTCCTAGGAACTAGCCTGGAAGTCTTTTTGACCGTTTCTATGCCTTCAATAGGGGCGGAAAACGGCCTCAGATTGGCCTAAGCAGTGACCCGAACAGCCAGAGTATCACAAGCTTCGTAGGAGCTCTTGTCCAACAGGAGCCTTCTGGTGACCAAACAGGGCCGCTTGGGGGCCCGTGGCCCCGAAAGCATCCTTC